CAACCCAGGATCGAAACGTGACGAGACTACGGGTGTCAAAGCAGTCGAGCACAAGAAGGGACCCAGTGCGATAGCAAGAGATAAATCCATCAAGTCGAGGGTGCAGAGTGAGTAAGTCCGCTCACAGTATGTCAGGATGGAGGCGTGGTCTAAGTTGAGGCGTCTCAGGCATAAAGGGACACTTAAGGAGTGTGTGATCCAATTCAGAAGACTTATGCTCAAAGTCCCCAAGTTTGACAGAAGAATATGGGTTCTTCACCTTCATGTTTGGATTAAAGTTGTGGGCAAAGAAAGTGTGGGAGTGAAGGGAAGTCAAGGAGTTGTGCAAAACCTTGACAACCGCTGAGTCCATCAAAGAATTTGGAGTCAAGACGAACAAGGCTTCCAAAGTAAAGCCGAAAACTGAGGGTAGCGGCAAGAGATTCCATGATAAAGGCAAGTCGAAGGATGAGGAATGTTGTTCCTCGAGTGGAAGAGAAAGTCCACTCAATGATGAATCAGATGATGGATCTGGGGAAGATGTGTGCAGGCTTGGCACAAGTTCAAGTGTCAAAGATGCTAAGCCGAGAGTAAGAGTCAAGCAAACGAGAGGGCGCAGACTTAAGATGCCAGAAGTGTTGTAAAATTACCCGAGGGGAGCCGAGTCATCCAAGATGATGGATGAGCCCAAGATCGAGTTGTCTAGAGAAGAGGACGAACCCATGATCGAAGAGACGTTGAGAGTTGGCTCAATAAGGATCATTTCTGCCAAGGCGAGTAGAAGCCAAGTGCAAGAAGAGTTGTTTGTGTCCATGGAGTTTACCGAGCATGTTTGTTATGAGAACATGGCTTCAGAGGCCATCTTAAGAGAAGGGTCGAAACAGGGGCTTGCTTAGGATGTTCAAGTGAGGAACAATCCTTCAAAGACTAGTGGAAAAGAGTCGAAGGGAGCTAAGACGTTGAGGGACAAAGAAACCACGGAGAAACTGCCCAATAGCAAGTGGGTTTACAGGGCGGTGACTACAGACAAACTGAAGCTGTGTCAGCTTCAGTTGGCATGCTACAGTAACAAGAGCAGAAATGATGTTGCATTAATCAAGGTATGAAGTCAGATTAAAATCAGTCTTCAAGTGAGAGATTGTTAAAAAGTCTAAATTGGAGCTTGTTAAAGTCCAAATTGGCAGCAGCAAAATTGAGCAATTTCGGTGGTAGCAAAAAATTGTCAATTTAAGCTGCAGCTTTTGACAATTTGGTAATGGTTAAATCTTACATTTAGTCATTATATTTTAGGGTATTTACAAGATTAGTCCTTAAGCTTCAACTATAAATACCCTAACCCATTTAGCTTCAAAATCATCCCAAAATCATTTCTTCCTCTCAATACTAAAGAGTTTAGAGAGTTCTCTTGTGAGTTGTGAGTATTTTATAAACATCTATAAATTTTCCCTCTTTAGTAAAAGATCTGCAGCAGTCCGGAGACGTAGGCAACATTGGCTGAACTCCGTTATCAATTATATCATGTTCGTGTTATTTTATGTTCATTGATGACAACCATAACTACAAGAGAAAAAGGCTTCATGAAGTAAACAGGGAAAATAATGGGATGGAAAAAAGGTATAAATAGAGATGCGGAGTATCAATCTCCATACCTCTCACATACTAAGCGAGTGCTCTACTATCTGAGCTATATCCCGGTATTCTCAATTTTATCTAAACAATTTATACATAAGTTTCAAGATAATGATACGAGGTGAACTTTCTGAAAGCCAAAACGGTGTCCTGATCGAAACTCGGGCTGTAACTTATTGTGTTCAATTTTCCACGTTCCTGACTTACACTCATTATGTCTACGTTGACAAGTAAACAGGGTATTTCATTTTTCTGTTAAAAAGTCTAATTTGGGGCTTGTTAAAGTCCAAATTGGTAGCTGCAAAATTGAGCAAATTCGGTGATTTCGGTGGATTTGGAGGCCACTTTCGGTGGCAACAAAAAATTGTCAATTTCAGCTGCAGCTTTAGACAATTTGGTAATGGTTAAATCATACATTTAGTCATTGTATTTTAGGGTATTTATAAGAATAGTCCTTAAACTTCAACTATAAATACCCTAACCCATTTAGCTTCAAAAAGTTCCCAAAATCATTTCTTCCTCTCAATACTAAAGAGTTTAGAGAGTTCTCTGGTGAGTTGTGAGTGTTTTGTAAACACCTGTAAATTTTCTCTCTTTAGTAAAAGATCTGCAATAGTCCGGAGACGTAGGCAACATTGGTTGAACTCCGTTATCAATTTCGGGTATTATTTTTCGCTTTTATTTTGCATTCTCACTAATCTGGTTATAGGGAAATTACTCGTTATTCGTTTATTTCCCAATAACTGGTATCTAGAGCTTTTGGCTGTGAATTTTGTCAGTTTTTCTACGGGTTTGCCATTCATGTGAATAGTGAATTTTGTGAATAGTAAAATTTTGTCGGCGAGACGAGTTTGTCGACGGAGGTGTTCTAATACTCGGTGGTTCGTGGGAATTGTCAGAAACGATCCAAAAGAAACCAGATTCGAGTGGGAGTGATGGCTTTGAGAAATGAAGTTGATGAGCTCAAGAGGGAGCTGCTCATATGCAAGGGTGCAATGAGTGAATGGGATGCGCTCAAGACCTTCTTGGAATGACTTAGACTAGGGGCGATGCTCGGGGGAGAGCAAATAAATGCCCAGAGACTTTTGGAGGCCATAGATGTAGCCGAAAAGTTGACTGAGCTTACAGGAGTCAAGCCAAATAGCAATGTGTTGTCCAGGCCCATGCCCAGAGATAGTGGCAACAGTGGTGGAGACCGGGAAAAGGTGCAGCAGGGAGATGGTAGAGAAAGCTCTTCGAATGGCCAAGGTGAGCCATTGACTGTTCGTAGCCAAGGAATGCCATCGGGAAAGAATGGCAAGGCTAAGTCTGGGCGAAGAAGAAGGCGAGCAAGGAAAAGCTTAAGTGTTACTTTTGTGATGGTCCTCATTTGATTAGAGGATGTCCCAAGAAGCGTTGCCTTATAACCATCATGAAGAGGATGGGAGAATGAGAAGTAGCAGGAATTGGTGTGGTTGTAAGTGTTAAAGCTACCAATCCAGGGAAAAAACTTGGTTCGATTGATAGGATCAATGCGGCCAAGCAAGGATTGAGACGATTCAAGGCTGTTGGTGTTGAGACAGCCGAACCCAGAAGAAAGCCCGATGTGATTGTGAGTGTCCAAGCAATCAACTCAGGAGAAAGACTTGGTGAGATTATATGTTCCAAAGTATCCGAATCAAGGAGCAAGAGCGGTGCGACTACAAGTTCTCAAGTAGTCAACCTAGGATCGAAACATGACGAGACTGTGGGTGTTAAAGCAGTCGAGCACAAGAAGGGACCCGGTGCGATAGCAAGAGATAAAGCCATCAAGTCGAGGGTGCAGAGTGAGCAGAGGGGAAGTCGAGTCATCCAAGGTGATGGATGAGCCGAAGATCGAGTTGTCCAAAGAAGAGACGAACTCAGGATCGAAGAGGCGTTGAGAGTTGGCTCAATAAGGTTTATTTCTGCCAAGGCGAGTAGAAGCTAAGTGCAAGAAGAGTTGTTTGTGTCCAAGGAGTTTGCCGAGTATGTTCGTGTAGAGAACATGGCTTCAAAGACCATCTTAAGAGAAGGGTCGAAGCAGGGGGTTGCCGAGGATGTTCAAGTGAGGAACAATCCTTCAAAGACTAGTGGACAAGAGTCGAAGGGAGCCAAGATGTTGAGGGACAAGGTAACCACGGAGAAACTGCCCAATAACAAGTGGGTTTACAGGGAGGTGACTACAGACAAACTGAAGTTGTGTTCAGCTTCAGTTGGCATGCTACAGTAAAAATAGCAGAAATGATGTTGCATTGATCAAGGTGTGAAGACAGATTAAAATCAATCTTCAAGTGGGAGATTGTTAAAAAGTCTAAATTGGAGCTTGTTAAAGTCCAAATTGGCAGCTGCAAAATCGGTGATTTCGGTGGATTTGGAGGCCACTTTCGGTGGCATCAAAAAATTGTCAATTTAAGCTGCAACTTTTGACAATTTGGTAATGGTTAAATCTTACATTTAGTCATTGTATTTTAGGGTATTTATAAGATTAGTCTTTAAGCTTCAACTATAAATACCCTAACTCATTTAGTTTCAAAATCATCCCAAAATTATTTCTTCATCTCAATACTAAAGAGTTTAAAGAGTTCTCTTGTGAGTTGTGAGTGTTTTGTAAATACCTGTAAATTTTCTCTCTTTAGTAAACGATCTGCAGCTGTCCAGAGAAATAGGCAACATTGGTTGAACTCCGTTATCAATTATATCATGTTCGTGTTCTTTTATGTTCATCGATGACAACCATAACTGCAAGAGAAAAAGGCTTCATGAAGTAAACAGACAAAATAATAGGATGGAAAAAAGGTATAAATAGAGATGCGGAGTATCAATCTCCATACCTCTCACATACTAAACGAGTGCTCTACTATCTGAGCTACATCCCGGTATTCTCAATTTTATCTAAACAATTTATACATAAGTTTCAAGACGGTGTCCTGATCGGAACTCGGGCTGTAACTTATTGTGTTCAATTTTCCACGTTCCTGGCTTACACTCGTTATGTCTACGTTGCCAAGTAAACTGTGTACTTCATTTTTCAACTCTTTGGATAGTTCTTTTTCTCTTCTTTATTCACCTTGCAAGTTGCCAATGTGTTGTTTTTGTGTGTGTCAGACAAGTGCAAATGTTGATGTTTGAATTAATTACGAACTATTTAATTCCCTAGAAAGCAAGGAAAAACGACTTGTCATTTACCAGGGAAGTACATTGAAATTCCTGGACCACAACCAAATTTATTACTCTTATTTGACTGGAACAATCCATACATTCATGCCAATATTTTCCTTCTAAACTTTTAGACATTTTTAAAAGATTGTATCACGTATCTATGATTGTGTCTATTAGAAACAAGTATAGTAGGGCGAATGCTTTGTTTATTGGATGATGTTGCTCGTGTATTAAGCAAGATATGTGTGATAATTAGTTTATTAGCTCATTGATTTGTGCGTGACTTCCATGTCCGTCTAATGGCATTAATCACTCGCACGATATGGATTGTACATCTGATGGATTCAGTTGACTACAACTAGTAGGCCTCTAGAAATTTTCAGAGTTCTAATATTCGATCAATCGACCGAGCTTCATGTTCTGTACTTGTAACGGTTTGCCCAGAAGAGGTAATGGAAGAAATTTAGGCCGCTGAGTACGCACATCAACCAGTAGAACCTCTGTAGGTAGTAGTGATTCAAGTTGCTACCTGCAAGCCACGGCGTGTGTCGAAAGATGCTGGTAACATTGTTGACTATTGATATCAGGACTGAACTGAAATAGTATCCCATGGAAAGTGAAGCCCAAGAAAGGGAAGTGGCCAATGATCTCATGCTTGTCGGGGCCTCGGTGAAGAAGAATTCCATCATTCCAGCTAAGGTGAAGAGATCAGCTGATCCGAGGAACAGGTATTGGATAGCTATCCAGAGGAACGTGATCGGTAGTGGCTCAGCAGAATCGAGTAGTCCCGACTCGACTGCTACTTTTTTTCTCTTTATTTCCGCTATAGCTGCTATTGCCATTGCAACAATAGATAGAATCAGCCCTGTTCCTATTCTCTGGAGATGAGTGATTCCCATTTCAGTCTTGGTCACTTTCCTGGCGAATGGAACGATGACATGGTTATACGTCGGTGCAATGATCATCACGAAGATGATGGGGAACACGGGTAGAGAAGCTGGTGGAACTTTTAAGGAACCGATCTTGGTGTTCATGGTGGCTGCTTGTTGGATAGAAAACGTAGAGAGCTGAGCAAGGCAGCAGTTGAGCATTATAGTGCACATAAAAACTGGGATTATCCTCAGCACTACCTTCATCTCTTCTACTTCCTTTACCGTACATTGTAACATCGGGCTAACCGGTTTTGCTGTGATTGCTTTATTTAGGAACTTGAGGTCTTCTGTAAGAGTCTGACTTGGAACCTTCACCTGGTTATCGCTCTCTTCTTTACTGGTTTCGGTACTATCGGGCGATGGACCTTTAGTTGTCTCCATGCCAATGACTGCATTACTCGGATTCTTAGAATTGCAATTGTTGTAAACAGCTGCAAATAAAACCTGTAGGACATACCAATCGGTCAAGTTCTAGCTTTGCAACTTGCAGTGTTTTCGTAGACTTAATTATTCGTTCAAGTTCTACCTTAAACATTGTGGTAATGGGGCTTCCTGCAGGAATCTTTGTTCTGTATATGGGAGAGCCAAGAAGGAAAACCGGGATCGAAGTCAGTATCGCCACAGTAGCAACACCGAAGCCCCATTTCCATCCTTTGTTGTCTTCAATCCATACCACGAATGTCACCGCAATTAATCCTCCACAAGAAAGGCAGAAAACGAAGTAATTGAAGAACGACGACCTCTGCTTTCTCCCTTGCGGCGTGGTATCATCGAATTGCTCAGCTCCATGAGGGGGGAGTGAACCTTTTATTCCACCAACTCCTAGTGCCACCAGATAAAGGCCGATAAACAACATGGTTTCTTTTTGTCCGTCGGCTTTCTCACACGGAATTTCAGTGCTTGCTAAAGCACAAACCGGTGGTTTCAACGACGGTATGCGAGCTTGCACTGTGAGTATCAACAGGCCCTGTTGAAGTCAAGTAAACAAAATCAGAGAAAAAGGAAAACACAAAAAGTCCCTACCATCAGCATTCAATTGAAATGGACTCGTTAGATTGGGAATTCTTCTCTTCCACCAATCAGATTTATCTGGGAAAGGCAGATTCATTTGTGGGACCGAGCCTGCACAATGCTAGTACAGGCCAAATTAACACTTTCAATCTTTTTCCCCCCTTCCCCACCACATTTTTTCATGTGTCATTATTGGTTAGGTTTGCTATGTCTTGGTGAGCCAATTGATAATGTGTTCATTGCAGGTAGGGCATCATGAGGTTGGCCTAGAGACACTGCAGTATTGTTCACACATGCTTCTAGATGAATGCAGCATTCAATGCTTCTAGATGAATGCAGCATTCAATGCTTCTAGATGAATGCAGCATTCAATGCTTCATCCTGCTTGAAATAATAACCACATGCCGATTTCCTCAACTGTGTTCTACACCATACCAAAAAAGGACCTGCAAACTATGTTACTTCGACTCGATTGTGAGTTTTTTTACGCTTTTACGTGTATTTGGAGGTTAAATACGAGTCGAAGCAACACAGTTTGTAACAGCTTTTTTTTTATTCTCATGTTTCAATCTTTACTGTTAAATTCTCACCACGAATTCAATTGCAGCACTGGTCAAATAGAGTCGATAGGAGGTGAAGAAAGCATCTGATAAAAAGCCACCAAGGAGAGCAAGGAGGAATGCTGTTCCCATGAAATTGGTAACAATGTTTGCAGAGCTTGATGGAGAATAGTGCATGAATTTGGAAAGGTACAGCACCAGGTTGCTCGCATTCGCCAGGAAAGCTAGATTCTCCAGTATCTCCACCACTATAACAAAGAGCACACAAGTCTTTTTTTTTATTTATTGAATTTACAATATCTAAACTGTTGGTTTATCAAAAACCAGGTTGTCTACTATGAACAAACGTAAAAGTAAAACATGCACAAGAGCGAGTGATTAAGCTATACACCGAGTACTGACCTAAGACAAAGGAGGCTGCAAGCATGCCACCGTGCCGGTCTCTCATGGCAGGTCTATTCCTCCAATTCACATACCCTTCCCATGTGTTCAGCTGTCGTCCTTCTTCCTGCAACGACGGACCAAGATCGGATTAGAAACAAGTGGTGCATCCCGGCGATAAAGTAAAAGAACGGAATCAAAACGTAAGATCACACACCATAGCAACTTTTATTAGTATATATTTAGTGTTTAAACTGAAGTGGGGGATCTCTCTGGTTGAGAATACTTTGATAAGGAATTTCTTGAATAAAAGGTAGTAGAGGGTCGAGTCATTTATATAGACAGAGAAAATGTGGTCCAAGTTTGAGAGAAAGGTCTAGACTCGATAACAAAGACTACTCATTCCTTCCTACATTTTCTGTGCTGTCAATTTGTATAACAAGGAAATAGATTGAAGAAGTGAAGAGAGAGAGAGGGATACTAGTTGAGGTGTGTTCTTATCTAAGATCACTTGGTTATAGTGAATCATAATGGAATATTTGAGGATGAAAATGGAAAGCATGATAGATTATGAATCAATACTTGTTTGCATACTTGTTATGATGATTGAAACGTGCCGTTATGTTTGTTTTTAAAAAAATTAACTACAATCAATCATACAGTAACATGTGACACCATATAATTAAGAGGTAATGGGAATCAAGTTCGTATTTGGTGGGTAAGCTTTTATTATCAGTATGGGGTGATTATAAAATAGTATATGTTTGAAAGACTCTCGGTAATTTGATAATAAAAGTTCAAACATTCCTACATACGTCATGCTCAAACTTGAGATCTTTAAAGGTAGCAAATATCCTTTAACCGACCATTAGTTGTAAGCCTTAAATAATGAATTCGTAAAGGAAAAAAAAAAGGCAAAAAGAGGTCGAGAACAATCAGATGAGAAACAATAAATTCCAGATCTCGGGTTCTAGTTTTGTAGTCTTAGCATTCTCATACACCCAAAAATACACAGCTCCTCAGTATATCTCAACACTCAATTCTACAAACAATATAGCTTTATATATGTGATTTGATGGATAACTCGAAACTTTAATTACCTCTCAGAAGTAGTAAAACTTTAAACAATCCATAACAACTTAAGAATTAGGTTCTTCTGTGAACCAAAATAGAAAATAAATAAGAAAAATTTATCTTTCAATTGTTCTCATTAACAGCTAGTCAACTAATATTTTCATCTAGAAAGGATCATTTTTTACTTAAAATGAAATGTTGAGTGTTAAATACTTCATAAAAAAACAAAGTGAATATTCAGTTAAATGTTAATTCTAACATTATACTTTTTTATTTCCATGTCATAAATATTTTAAAAATATTTTTAAACTTCTTATTTATCTAAAAACAAGAAGATTATTTGAATTTCTTATTTGTACAAGGAAAAATTTACAACGCTAGATGAGTACTGTTAAGCACCACTAACGATGAGTATTATTAATTTAATTTATAAAAATTTAAAATTCTAAAAGAATCAACGTATAATTATAAATTAGTTAAATTAAAATATTAATTACATTATTTTCCATAATCTTTTTTTGATAAACTATAACAGTGACCACCTAACTATTGCTTATTTTCATTTGACCATCATTTTTTAAATTTTGTTAATCAGGTCACTAAACTATTTTTTATAGAAAGCTGTCAGTTTTATTAAAAATAAAAAATATCCATAATTACAACAAAGATTTACAAGCATACCGTAAATGTAAACTAAATTTTAATTAGGACATTTTCCTGAACTAAATTTTAATTAGGACATTTTTCCTATAACCATTGACACAAAAATTAGCCACCTAGATCACACAAGGATCAAAAAAAGGAAAAGATTAAAAAATCTAACCAATGCTCAAATAAAATAAAGATACGAACAAATCTGAATGCATTGGCAAACAAACCACAAAAGGGGATGAAACTACTGAAGGCCACTAACAAAACGCAAATCATAGTTAAGCGGCGTGGGAAAACTATCCACGACCGCAAAATGTGTATCCAAATCAATCCAAGGGTCCAAAGCAGGAAGATCAACATGATAACAAATAAGAGTCATCTTGATAAGTCGTGACGATGTCAAATCCAACCCTGAGAAAAAAAAAAGATAAACGAAAAAAATGGAAAAAGATCGTAAACTACTAAAAAGCATATAAAAACGTGTCACAAATGCATAGAGATAAACGTGTCACAAATGCATAGAGATAAACGTGTCATAAAGGCATAGAACATGTCACGAAGTCATAATTATTCTTATAAAAAACTACAAAAAAACAAAGAAAAGTTAGAGAATAAAAGTTGAATAGATCAATAAAATTGACACAAGTTGTAAAGAAGAAAAAGAGGGAAAAGAGAGTAGGAGGAGGAAGAAAATGACTAGGTCATTAAACCATTTAAATGCATCAAATCAAACCACTTGTAGTTAACAATTAACGAAAGTACTGACGTGACAATTAATAAAATTTATATAATTACACATTTAGTCCTTATTACTTACACAACTTATCAAATTGGTCATATTTTGAAATTAATTCAATATATATTTTATCTTCCAATCATATAACTTCAAATCTTTTATATTGTAATATTAACAAATGATACACAGAGAATTATAATTTGATTCCTCATTAATAAATTATTTTTTGTATTACTTCAATTATTGTTAATGACATATGTAAGTGTAGTCTAGGTTCAGTATATTTGAAATTTAATTTTGTTTCTGTTAATTATTCCTTTTAGTGATACGTACACTCTAAAAACTATTTATGGATCTATCAATGATTTTTGTATTTGTTTTATTTGTCATTTTCGTATTCATGATCAACCTAAATTTCAAACTTACAATTATCAGGTTATTACCAAAGGGAATTAATTTGTGCAACTTTTCAAATCCGAATGTTCTTTCAGATTTTTCTTTTTTCATCTAAGAAAATACAATACATATACTGAAACAAAATATCTCATTAATGAAACAAGAATATCGATAAAATAATATTTATCTATATATACCTCTTGGGAAATAACAAATTGCTTGAATTATAAAAGTATAACACTGCATACATGAATTTGAAATATAAAAAGATGGACTAAGGGGAAAATACCCCAAACGGAAATCCAACAAACTATATGAGCGAGTATTAAATCTTGAAAATAGAAAAGGAAGAGAAATAAAAGAACACTGCACGATATACCAAATTCTGCATTAAAAAACTGGATGCTAACTCAACACATAATAACTTAATCAAACCCATTCAGCGTTCACAAGTATGATTACAGGCTTCATCCACATATCCAAATCAAAGAATTATTTTCATCATTTTTTTTCATTTGTGTGCTTGAAAGGCATCTCCACTGTCTAAGCCGAGGGCCCTTGTCTAAAACAATTAGCAAGCCAACGTTGTTTGGCAACAATCCATACAGGTACCTTTATAATTAAAGAAGATATATGAACAAAAATGGTTTTCAAACACCGGCATTAAGTTAAAAACATGCATATAAACTTCAATGTCAATATCCAACATAAAATACATCAAGTACTTGCTCTGTATCTCTATTGTTTCACGGCCAACTATGAGAGGCTATGGCCTTGACCGATGGATGTTAAAGACTACATTCTTTGTATTGAATTAATTTCAAAACATGACCCATTTGATAGATTGTATAAGTAATAAGGACTAAATGTGTAATTATATAAATTTTATTAACTGATACGTCAACATTTTCGTTAATTGTTAACGATAAGTGGCTTGATTGAATGTATTTAAATAGTTTAGTAGCATGATTGACAAAATGTCAAAAATTATGGTCAAAATGAAATGGAGCAACAGTTAGACGGTCACCGTTATAGTTTATCCAAAAAAGATTATGAAAAATTATATAATTAATATTTTATTTTAACTAATTTATCTTTAAATTTTTAACTAATTATAATTATACATTGAGTCATTTAGAATTTTAATTTTTTATAAATTAAATTAATGATATTTATTATTAGCGGTAATCAGCGGTGCTCGTTGAACGTGACATACTTATCATTTGTCTAATAAAAACAAAAAGAAACTTCTTATTTATGATTATTATTATTATGGGACTTGCTAGATGCCATCATTTACCAAAATGACTAATTTTCCGGTTGGATTCGAACTCGGTGTGTAAGTGATAGACTACAAAATATTCTCCAAATATTTTATATTTACTATTGTATATTTAGTTGCCTAAATTATAGCCTAATTCCTAAATTATAGCCTAATTGTTAGGATTGTATCTACTAATGACTGTGTATATATTGAACCCCTGTGGTAATGAGAATGGCACGGAATTACATTCTTTCATGGTATCAGCTACGGTTGATCTATTCTAGCTTCTGCAACCCTATTTTTTTTCTTCTTCTTCTTCTCTGTCTTCTGTTCTTCCGTCTGACATGGCTCCCATATTATCTTCCTCATCCTTTCACCCTGCTCTTGTTGTTTCTAACATCAAGACACATGTTCCCATCACTCTTGAGATGTAGAACGTCCAATATACAAATTGGGCGGAGTTGTTCAAGGTTCATTGTCGATGTCACAAGGTTCTTCATCATATTATCCCACCGAAATCTAAGGACGGGGAGGCCACAGAGCCGGCCACCCTTAGTCAGGAAGAACAAGAGTTGTGGGATACGTTGGATGCTGTTGTGGTTCAGTGGATTTATTTCACAATTTCGACTGATCTCTTGAATACCGTTATTGAAGCCGATGTTTCTGCCATGACTCTATGGAATCGTCTTCGTGATTTGTTTCAGGATAATGAGAACTCTCGTGCTATTTCCTTGGAACACGAGTTCAACAACACCTACTTGAAGGATTTCTCCTCAGTTTTTGCATATTGCCAGCACCTCAAAACATTTTTCGACCAACTCAAGAATGTGGGTGCTCCGGTTTCGAACAATCATCTTGTTCTTCGCATGGTGGGTGGTCTCACACCGGCTTACAAGGGAGTTGCTTCGGTTATTCGCCTCAAAAAGGTACGACCACCTTTTTATGAAGTTCGATCGATGCTGGCCTTAGAAGAAACCAGCATGAAGGAGGCGACAACTGATGATGCGATGATGGTGACTAATCATGACACTGATGAGATTTCTAATCATCCTCCTCCAAGTCGCGCATGTGGGAAACAGAACAAGCACCGCAACAACAACAAAAGCCGCAAACCTACTAGTAGTGGAGTTCAGACGCCGAGTGTTGGACGTGGTGGCAACCGTGGAGGTGGTCCGAACTTGGGCGGTGGTAAGTAGGGTCCAATGCAACCAACATGGGCTATACCTCCTTGGTGGACATGGATGCAACCACCTTGGGTCATGCCTCCTTATCCATATCCAACTCAACCTTGGGGTAGGCAAGTTGGACCACGACAGCCTGGTATTCTAGGAGCACGACCCCAGCAGCAGCAAGCCTATACTACAGCGTCCCAGTGGGCTCCGACGGATATTGAGTCCGCCATGCACACCATGTCTCTCTCTCAATCGGATCCAAATTGGTATATGGATACTGGGGTGACGTCTCATATGACATCAACACAAGGTAATCTCTCGTCTTATATTAATATGAGAAAAGATAATGGTGTTACTGTTGGTAGTGGTTAGTCAATTCCAATTCTTGGTTACGGTCATACCTTATTACCTTCCCCGAACCCACCTTTATCTCTCAAACATATCTTGCATACTCTGAATCTTATTAAAAATTTAGTGTCTGTTCGGAAATTTACAACTGATAATAATGTGTCAGTGGTGTTTGATCCTTGTGGGTTTTCCGCGCATGATTTACAGACGGGGAGACGTCTAATGAGATGTGATAGTACCAGCTCTCTCTACCTAATCACTCCCACCAGGCCGCGTCCAGCCTCTTCTCCTACTGTCTTGCTTGCTTCAACGCTTTGGCATGACCGTTTAGGTCAACCAGGTGACTCCATTTTATCTATTCTTCAGCAAAATAAATTGATTGCTTGTAATAGTCCATCTAAGTCTACTACTTGTCAATCTTGTGTACTGGGAAAACATATTCGGTTGCCTTTTGTTCTTTCAACTTCTCAAACTTTCATGTCTTTTGATATTATTCATAGTGATCTTTGGACCTCTCCGATTTTGAGTTCTTCGGGACATCGTTATTATGTGCTTTTTTTGGATGATTATTCGAAATTCTTGTGGACTTTTCCCATTGTTAATAAATCACAAGTATTCTCCATTTTTACTAAATTCCAAGCTCATATTTGTACCCAGTTTGAACAAGATATCAAAACCATACAATGTGATAATGGGGGAGAGTTTGATAATGCCTCTTTTCGGCAATTCTGTGAGTCCTATGGCATTTTTTTCGTTTCTCCTGCCCTTATACCTCCTCACAAAATGGGAAGGCCGAAAGAAAAATAAGATCCATTAATAATATCATGTGCACACTACTTATTCATGCCTCTTTTCCACACTCTTTTTGGCATCATGCGCTTCATATGGCAACCCATCTTTTGAATATTCTTCCCAGTACACTACTAGCTAATGTGTCTCCTCTACAAAGTTTATACCACTGGGTTCCCTCTTATTCTCACATTCGGGTTTTCGGGTTATTGTGTTATCCTCTTATTCCATCCACGACTATTCAAAAATTACAAGCTCGATCCATTCCCTATGTTTTCTTGGGTTATCCCGATAATCATCGAGGCTATAAGTGTTTTGATTTATCCAAAAATAAAATAATAACCTGTCGGCATGTACAATTTGATGAAACTATATTCCCTTTTACCAAAGTCCATCAACCTAGTACAGGTGATTATGATTTTTTGAATGATGGCGTGTCGTCGTATCTTCTTCATCAAAACCAACCACAACAGCCTCCACTTTTTTCTCCTACGACCCAACCAGTCATGTCTTCTCCAGCCTCTCACTCATCTGTGAGCAGACAGTTTGCAGTCCCATCTCCTCCAAACTCCTCACCAATTCGGCCCAGACCGCCCCCTGTTCCATTCGAACGCCCTGTCACCCGTAGTCAGCATGGTATCTTTAAGCCAAAAACTATATTTGACCCATCCGATTCCCATACTATCACTGTTACGAGATCTCCTCTGCCTCGTAACCCTATGGCTGCACTTCGTGACCTGAATTGGAAGTTGGCTATGACTGACGAATATGATGCTCTTATTAAAAATAAGTCGTGGGATTTGGTACCCCGCCCTCCTGGAGTTAATGTCATTCGTTCTATGTGGATTTTTACTCATAAAATAAAGTCTGATGGTTCGTTTGAGAGGCATAAGGCTCGTCTTGTAGGTGATGGTAAAACTCAGCGTGTTGGTATTGATTGTGGAGAGACTTTTAGTCTGGTAGTGAAGCCAACAACAATTAGTACTGTGCTTAGTCTTGCCCTATCGAAACAATGGTCGATTCATCAGTTAGATGTAAGCAATGCTCTTTTGCACGGTGACCTCAAGGAAACGGTTTATATGCATCAACCTATGGGATTTCGAGATCAAGTGTATCCTAATTATGTATGTTTACTACGTAAATCTCTCTATGGGCTCAAACAAGCCCTCGGGCGTGGTACAAGAGGTTTGTTGATTTTGTTTCTTCCATTGGTTTCTCTAACAGTAAATCGGATACTTCCTTATTTCTTTACAAACACGGGTCGGATATGGCATACCTACTGCTTTACGTTGATGACATTATTCTGAAGGCGTCTTCTGAGCATCTCCACAAGTCTATAATGGTTCATCTCAACTCTGAGTTTGCTATGAAGGATTTGGGTTTCTTAAACTATTTTCTCGGTATCAGTGTGACTCGACACAAGGGTGGGTTGTTTTTATCACAACAAAAATACGCTGAGGACATCATTGATCGAGCAGGCATGTATCCTTGTAAGCCCAGTCAGACTCCAGTTGATACCAAGCCGAAGGTGAGTGCCACCAGCGGTGCACGGTATGCTGATCCAACGCAGTACCGCAGCCTTGCAGGTGCCCTGCAATATCTTACTTTTACGCGGCCGGATATTTCCTATGCAATTCAGCAGATTTGTCTCCATATGCATGACCCTCGGGATGAGCATATGAACGCTCTCAAGCGTATCATTTGGTATATCCAAGGTACTCTTCATCTTGGTTTACATATTTCTCCTTCCTCCATTACCGATCTTGTCTCTTATACGGATGCGGATTGGGGAGGCTGTCCCGATAATCGACGATCCACCTCCGGGTATTGTGTTTTTTTTTGTGATAATTTGATCTCATGGTCGTCCAAACGACAGCCTACGCTTTCCCGATCAAGTGCCGAGGCAGAATACAGGGGAGTTGCCAACGTTGTCTCGGAGTCTTGTTGGCTTCGTAATCTTCTTCTCGAACTCAACTGTCCCATCCGTAAAGCAATAATGGTTTACTGCGACAATGTGAGTGCTATCTATCTTTCTGGAAATCCCATTCAACACCAGCGTACGAAGCACATTGAAATGAATATTCATTTTGTTCGAGAAAAAGTTGCGCGAGGTGAGGTTCGTGTTCGTAATGTGCCGTCTAGGTACCAGATTGCAAATATTTTCACTAAGGAGTTGCCCCTTATATTGTTTGACGATTTCCGGACCAGTCTTAACATTCGAGATCCTCCCGTTTCGACTGCGGGGGAGTGATAGACTACAAAATATTCTCCAAATATTTTGTATTTACTATTGTATATTTAGTTGCCTAAATTATAGCATAATTCCTAAATTATAATTAATTCCTAAATTATAGTCTAATTGTTAGGATTGTATCTACTAATGACTGTATATATATTGAATCCCTGTGATGATGAGAATGCCACGAAATTACATTCTTTCAGTAAGGAGATGATTTTGAAGTTGATATTAGGTTCGAATTGGAAATGAATGTGGTGTGAGATGATTGCCTGGCCAAAGTCCAAAACTGTGCAATATATAGATCGCCAATGGTATTTAATTCTTCTTATCAAGAATGGGGTATCTGAGATCGAGATATAAATAACAATAAAACAAACAAGTGGATTAGATTAAATGAAGTTGTAATGATATGATTTGATTAAGGTCCTTGCTTTTGTCGTACATGTCCGACAGACACACACCCTTCCTAGTGGCAATGTCACTGTGTCTTTAAAGCTAATCTTGACAGGAATGAGTGCCCTTTTTACCTCCATTATCTCTGTATTATCCTATTGGGTCCCATATTTTGACTTTCCTAATTATATAAATGGGATTGTTACAAATCAGTTGGGTTAGGCTGCTTGAGTTTCTCATCTGTCAAAAACCCAATCTCATGTCATGTTGTAATCACCGACGTGTACATGTGAAATTTTTTGTCAGCTTCAATCCTCACATGCCATGCCACTACAATGAGAAGGTCATTCGATACGATAAAATACGAAGGATTTTATTTTAAAGTAATGAATTTATAAACTTTTAAGGGTTAAAAATTAATCTATTAATAAAAAAATAAAAAAAATATTTAAATTATATGAAAATTTTAAAATTTTAAAATGGTGACTCCCCCGCCAGTCTCTTTTGGACCATATCTGATCTAAGGTTTACACTTAGAATGACAATTTAACCTGAAACTGGCAAATTTTGGTTCGATCCGATCTAATTCGATTTTTCTTTTTAATTCGGGTTCAAGTCATTTTTTTATGTAGGATTAGGTCGGGTTGGATGGAAGGTGAAAAATCTTTGACCTGACCCAACTTTACCAAGAGGTAATATTATACTTTTTCCTATAAATTTTAGGATAATTACTATAATACCTCCTTTCTCTATAGTTTTTTAATTAGGTCCCTATTTTACATTAAGTCGGATCGTATCAGATCGGGTTTGTACTCCAAAAATTCAGATTAGATCAAGTCGAGTTGAGGGAATATGCTCTTTGGATCTAGTGGTGAGCATATAATTCTCAAATTAAGTGGAGAGTATATGATTTTCATATTAGATCAGATTCTGATGAAATATATATATTTTCATGTCAGATTCGGATAGGCCCAAAAATGGACCCAACCAGACCCGTTACCATTTCTATGTGTACCATTTTGTTCCCAATGGAGGTGTTACCTTTTCCACCGGTTTCCTTTGTAGGCCACTTTGCTCAGCTGATTATGTGGACACGACAACCGATGTGCCTTTCGAAAATTTCCAAATTGTGTGGCTTATAACCTATAGAATATGGACCATATACTTTGCGACATTTATTTACATTCATACAACCCTTTGATACTTTCTCTATCTCACATTGCAAAAATTCATAGAAGCGAGTATGATAAATATA